AAAAGTGTATACACATTTATTATGGATTTTTTTGTTTGTTTTTTGAAATAAGGTCTTGATCTATTGTCCCAGGTAGAGTGCAGTGGTGTCATTGTAGCTCATTGCAACCTCAAACTCCTGGGCTCAAGCAATCTTCCTGCCTCAGCCTCTCAAGTAGCTCAAACTACAGGCACTTGCCACAACAGGTGCTAATTTTCTATTTTTAGTACAGATGGGGTCTTGCTCTTGCTCAGGCTGGTCTCAAACTCCTGACCTTAAATAATCTTTCCACCTCAGCCTCCTAAAGTGCTGGGATTAACAGGTGTGAGCCACTGTCCCTGGCCACTTACTGTGTTTTTAAAACTTATAAAATGTGGCTGGGTGCAGTGGCTCATGCCTGTAATCCCAGTACTCTGGGAAGGTGAGGCAGGCAGATTGCCTGAGCTCAGGAGTTCAAGACCAGGCTGAGTAAGAGTGAGACCCTGTGGCTACTAAAAATTAGAAAAACTAGCTGAGTGTGGTAGCACCTGTCTGTAGTCTCAGCTACTTGGAAGACTGAGGCAAGGGGATTGCTTGAGCATAAGAGTTTGAGGTAGACTTTACCTCTTTTATGTTTACATGGATGGAGCTGGAACATATTCTTCTTAGTAAAGTATCTCAAGAATGGAAGAAAAAGTATCCAATGTACTCAATACTATTATGAAACCAATTTGTAATCATTCATACTTTCACAAGAAAGATAAACCACAACTATAGCCCAAGATGATGGAGGGAAGAGGAGGGGGATTGGAGGGGAGGGGGAAGATTCGATGGAAGGAGGGTAAATGGTGGGACCATTCCTGTGGTTCATATTGCAAGGGTACATGTCAAATCTATTAAGTATAGAGTATAAATGTCTTAGCACAATAATTAAGTAAATGAGGTGAAGGCTATACTAACTAGTTTGATGTAAGCATTCCTAAGTGTCTATAAAATCAGCACTTTGTACCCTATAAAGGCAACAATGAATACATGATCTATGTGTTTATGACTTAATAAAAAAAAATTGGTATACTAACAACAACAAAAAGAGTTGGAGGTTGCTGTGAGCTAGGATGCCATAGTACTCTACCCGGGGCACAGAGTGAGACTCTGTCTCAACAAATAAAATAAAATAATATAACTTATAAAATGAATACATACTTCTTGTGGACTATAGACAAACAAAAAGAAGAAAATCTTTCTTGACCTTCCCACTCAGATAAACATTGTTAACATTTTGGTTTATTTCTGAATATTTAGATTTATTCTGTGGTCAGTTTATATATATATATATTTTTTTTTTTTTTTAAGAGACAAGAGTTTTACTTTGTTGCCCTTGGTAGAGTGCTGTGGCATCACAGCTCACAGCAACCTCCAGCTCTTGGGCTTAGGTAATTCTCTTGCCTCAGCCTCCCGAGTAGCTGGGACCACAGGCACCCACCACAACGCCCAGCTATTTTTTGGTTGCAGTTTGGCTGGGGCTAGGTTCAAGCCTGCCACCCTTGGTATATGGGGTCGGTGCCCTACTCACTAAGCCACAAGTGCGGCCCAGTCAGTTTATATTTTAATAGCTGGTTATGATTCCATTCTATAGACTACCACAGTCATCTAACCAGTCCCCTGTTTGTCTATTCTTGGACATATTCACCACAATTTTTCACTGTAACAGGTAATTGATGCAATACACATTCTTGTATACATTTTTTAATATCTGCACCAGATTATTTTAGGATCACTAATGAGAAATGGCATCATTGAAATGGTATGACTATTCCTGTTGTCCATGAGTCATATTTTCAAATTATCCTTTTGAACTATGATACCAAGTCCACATCCGTTGATATCATCTGAGAATTCCCTAACCAACACTAGCTATTATTGTCATCTAGCATTGTGTATGTGTGATTAAAAAGGTTAAAAAAATAGTATCTTGCTTTGTTTTGAATTTCTTTGTTTCCTGATGAAGTTTATTTACTTTTTCCTTCTCATACCCTTGTGACCATTTGAATTTCTTTGAAGGAGAAATGTACTTTTCCTTTGCTTGGTTTCCTTGTAGAGCACCCTGAGCCTGGAGGTTGACCTTGGGAGGGAAGACTCACCTGCTTTCCTATGTCTTTGGGGGACACCACTGCCCCCAGAATCCTGGGCTGGGGGGAGTGTGACTCTATCTATTCACCAGGGCACTGTTTCCTTTTCCCTCCTGTGAATGCAAAGCCTTGGTGTGGAGGACCTTGTCTGGCGGGAGGACAGGGGTGGCAGAGCCAAAGCCTTTAGCTTGGGGCTCCCACTGAGACATAGAGCAGGGAAGGGCCAGAGAAAAGGACCATTAGGACGTGACGATGTCTTAGAAAATTAAGCAGATGAGAAATTCTAGAAAGACGAAGGGCAGCTTGATGAGACAGAGAGGAATTCAGTCACTCAGAACTCAGTGTGACCCAGGAGGGCAATTATAAAGATGTGGGTGGTTCAGGACAGATCAAATAGTAACAAAATGGAGAAAATGTTAATATAATGCGTCTGAGAATAAAGATGAAAGAGCAGTCCCCTCCATTTCACAGAGTATCCCTGCCTTCTTTGGTTCCACTGGTGGCCCACGGTGTCATTGCTGTGGCCTCATTGCTCTCCCTCTTTCTGCCCTCACTGCCCCTTTATGCAGCCTCCCAGGCACAGCTTCCAAGGCGTGGCTGGGATCACTGTCTTTTGCTGGATACTCTTCACTGCTGCTTGGTCAAGTCTAAACTCCATTTCCAGGCCAGGTTTCACGTTTACCTTCCTGGCTTCCCTTGGCCCCACCTTAAACTTGCAGTGACCACTTATTCACCTTTGAACCCCCATACACGCCAGTTCCCTGCCTTGAAACCCTTCTCTTCCTCTGCATAACTCCCCGAACCCTTTCCTTCTGTTAAAAGTAAAAGGCATCTTTAATGTGCTTGAATTCCATCTCACAAGCTCAGTGACTTTGGAAAGTGTTTAACCTTCAGAACCTGGATTCATGTAAAATAGGAGCAGCAATGTCTCCCTGGCAGAGTTGTTGGGAAGATTACGTTCAATGATTAAGAGAAAGTGTTCACTGACTCATTTACTCAAGACCCTCTCGTGAGCATCCACACTGGGTCAGCAGAGCAGGGCAGGGAGGTTCTTTACTTTCACCAAGTATACAGCTGACCTTAAAATTATATCCATATGTGATCTAATTCATCTCATAGGAGCCAGGGATTATATTCCCATCTTGCATAGGAAAGTGGAATCCTGACAGAGGGAAAGCCATTGCATGGGCAGTCATGGAATTACTGAGTTCCAATTGCGGTAGGTCGGGTGACAGGGTAATATGGGAATCTGATTAGCAGCCAATAAATGCCAGTTCTCCCCATCCCTCTTCGTTATGTGTGAGTCAGTTAGGGAGATGGTCATAAACTGCCTTTATGTGCCTTTTCGTTATTTGACTTGTAACAATGGATGCATTCTACTTTTATAACTTAAAATGTCCAGTAAAATTTATGAGTAGACCCAAGACATGCTTATCTTTTTTTTTAAAGAAGAAGGGAAAAATGATGGGTTAGGTATTACCTCTTCCTCAGTGACAGGCTGAGGAAGTGGCTGCCCCCTCCACTGACTCCTGCTGTCCCCTCAGGTGGGCCTCTGCTCCTCATCCTTGTACTGGGAGTATAGGAGCCCCAGTAGGGGTGGGGACAGATTTGCCTTTGGTCCCAGCGTACAACATGGTCCATCCTCATGGCCATAAGGAATTGCTCATTGAATGGAAACTTGAACAAGGAGGCTGCAGAGCTGAGAAGCAGTTTTCTTGCATGAAGGCAGGGTGGCTAAGGATTGTGGTTGCCTCTGGCTGACATACAGGGCTTACAAAGAGACCAGCAGGGCAGAAGGGTCCCTTGCTCAAGGCAAGGAGGAACAAGAAAATGAAGTCTGTGAGAAGCATGGCTCTATGGTCCCACTGTCATGCCAGGGCTCACTCTCAGCCCTGTCACCCTCCACTTTGGGTTGACATAGAAATGTTCCACCCACACCCTTAGTGCCTCCCCTCCCACAGAACAGACCATCATGATGAATGAGGTAAAACGTGACTTACAGGTGAGAGGATTGGGCAAAAGCAAACACAACTATTGACTTAAAAATAAGCAAGTTTTCCAATCTTTTATCATGAATTTAAAGTTCCCAAAGTCTTAGGCATTATTGCAGCTTTCACCTGAGCTGCATCAATCAACCACGGCGCTCGTCTCCTAATGTTTTGTGAAGACAACGATCCAGAACTGATGACTGGAGGGGCAAGTTGTGACGAACTGTGACTGTCTACCCTTCTAGCCAGAGCTCCTGGTCTCTCTCTGGGGCCCCCTTGAGAAATCAGAAAGATTCAGGGCATCTTTGGGAAGGGGTGGGAGACTGCCACACTCCTTGCCCTCTCAAGGAAGTTCCCTATGTCCCATCCCGTAGATTTCCTAAGAACCCCTAAGCTGATGGCACTATTGCCACCTATTCTGTCCATATGTCATCTAACTGATCTTATAGGAGCCAGGGATTATATTCCCGTTTCACATAGGAAAGTGGAGTCCTACATGTGCAGACACATGCTCTGAATGGCACAGAGAGACAAAACAGGCCTTCCAGGCCCCAGGCTGAACCTAATGCTCTTACTTCTTAGAGCAGCAGTGTGCCAAGTGGGTTGAGGGCTGCAGGTAGACCAGCAACCCTCACCAGGCCAGGAGGGTGACAGTACGGCAGTAGAGGTGGTACTGTCCAGGCAGGGTGGCTAGTGTTTGTGTATGTCAATGGTTCTAGAGAGAAGGGACAGAGAGGGAATTTCCTGTATGATAATAAGCAACTGTCTTACCTTTCCTGTTGCCCCTTTGGAGCAACTGCCTGGATAGGGCTTAGAGGGAAGTGAGAGGTAAGGACCGACAAAGAGAGATTTGCGAGACTAGGTGTCACTTAGATGATGTACGGTGAGAGTGTGGTCTGCAAGTTACAAGATCTGAGAAAAAAAAGGAATGTGCATGGGGGTTTGCTGTGATTACAGCCTTCTGCTTCACTTTATGGCAGGCACAACATCAGGCTTCAGTACAGAATCAACCACCTCCCTCAGCATTGCTGCTTCCACTCACCGTACAGAGTCACCTACGAGCGCTGCAACATCAGGCCTCAGTGCAGAGTCAACTACGTTCCATAGCAGGCCCACATCCACTCCCAGTGTAACGGTACCTGACAGCTCCCCAGTATCAGACCTCACTACAGAATCAACCACCTTCCACAGTATTCCCAGTTCACTTCACAGAATAGTGTCTCCTGGCAGCTCCCCAACATCAGGCCTCACTACAGAATCAACCACCTTCCACAGCATTCCCAGTTCACTTCACAGAGCAGTGTCTCCTGGCAGCTCCCCAGTATCAGGCCTCACTACAGAATCAACCACCTTCCACAGTATTCCCAGTTCACTTCACAGAATAGAGTCTTCTGGCAGCTCTGCAACATCAGGCCTCACTAGAGAGTCAACCACCTTCCACAGCATTCCCAGTTCACTTCACACAACAGTGTCTCCTGGCAGCTCCCCAACATCAGGCCTGCCTTCACAATCCTCCATTTCTCACAGCATTCCCAGTTCACTTCACACAACAGTGTCAACTGGCAGCTCCCAAGCATCAGGCCTCCTTTCACAATCCTCCACCTCCCA